TTTTTGCACATCAAAAGAAATCACCAACAGTGTAAAAGAAAACCCACAAATTGGGAAAAAAATTTTAGCCAACTGTCCCTCAGACAAAGCACTTCTATCTAGAATATATAAAGAATTTTAAAAAATTAGGCCCCCAAAATTCAAAGACCCAATGCAAAAATGGGCATCTAAAATGAATACATGCTTCTCAGATGAATACAAATGGCAAATAAATATATGAAAAAAATGTTCAACATCATTGCTCATTCGAGAAATGCAAATTAAAACAACACTGAGATTCCATCTCACCCCAGAAAGAATGACTATCATCAAAAATCAACCAGTAACAAATGCTGGAGGGGCTGTGGGGAAAAGGAACCTTTCTCCACTGCTGCTGGGAGTGTAGACTGGTGTAATCACTGTGGATTACACCAGTGTAATCACTGTGGAAATCAGTGTAGAGATTCCTCACAAAACTAGGAGCAGAGGTCCCACTTAACCCAGCTATCCCCCTTCTAAGTATTTTTCCACAAAAACTGAAAACATCGTACCACAGCAATATATGTGCACCAATGTTTATAGCAGTGTAACTTGTCATAGCTAACCTTAGAAACAACTCAAATGCCCATCAGCGGAGGAATGGATAAAAAAGATGTGGTATTTTTATACAATGGAGTATTACTCAGCTATAAAAAAGATAAACCTGAGGCTTTTATAGGTAAATAGATGCAACTAGAGACTATACTCATAAGTGAAATAAATCAGACCCGTATGTGTAAACATCATATTGTCTCCCTAGTGTAAGAACGTGAAAGAGTAAATAACACCAGAAAGGTACAACAGATATTGTGAAAGGGAAAGAAATTGCTCAAAGGGAAGGAACAACTGGAATAAGGGAAAGGAGGAAAGAAAGAAAGAAGAGAGGGGAAAAATATATACGTATATACAGGAACAGCTGGGATAATTGTACTGCTGACATATATTGGTTTACTGAAAGGAACAGTTAATGCTTAAATTTTTTTGACCAATTTTACATGCCTATATCTGGTAATCTCAACAGCTAATTTGAAGACAATATGCAATATAACCATTGTTGAATTCCTACTATCTTCTTCAATAAAGCTCTGCATTGTTTCTAATGTTTTTTAAATTATTTTTTATTCTCTTTAATTGTTTGATCAATCTTGCATTCTTATAACTGGTAACCTGAACAACTTTGTTGAAAATAATATGTAATATAACAACCATTGTTAATTTCCTATTCTCTTGTTTGAAATTTTGTACTGTTTTTACCGGTTTTGTGTTGTTTTGTTTTTGTCTTTGTTGTTATTTTGTTATTGTTTTTTTCTCTTTGAAATAAAAAAAGAAAAAATTCTTCTGCCTCTGTTGTCCAACTCAAAGGAGTTTTTACCATAGGAATTACAATCATTAAAGGAGGAATATTGATACAAAAATGTCTTAATAATAATAACCAAGGGGTTTGGTTTTCAAATTGCTTTACTACATATATTTCAAATAACTAATCAGAAAAAAAATGATGTCAGTGATAAAGCTATTATGTGGTTGAGTGCAGTCCCAAAGCTAGGCTTTTAAAACATTTCGTTATATTATACTATCCTTGAATCATACTGGTGGGCATTCTGATCACAGTGATACATTTTACACTCCTAGCACCAAGTGAAGTTAGTATTTCCAATCCCTAGCTACACACACACACACACACACACACACACACACACAGCAATGTCAGACCTCATGGAAGTATAAGATTAGGAGTGCTAGGCTTTCTAGGTAAATGAGATTTGACCATGCAACTGGGGGGAAAAAATCTTCATATACAGGTTCTCCTTATACATTTTCCTGTGATTTTCTGTAAATCTGCAACTATTTCAAAATAAAACATTTAAAAATACCTTGCTCATATTAGGTTCAAAAATTGAGATAACAAGAATCAGTATTTCAAGAAAATACTAACAACTTTCTAAGAGAAAATGGACATTCCCAACTCTTTCCTTAACTTTTCTACATTATTTTATTCTACCATCTCAAACAACTAGGATTATAGAAAAAGTAACCTGAATTTCCTATTACTCCATCCTGATGAAAACAATGTAATATAGGTGGCGCACTCCTAATCCAAAGATCTGAAATTCAATGGACTTGAGGATTATGGATGCTCATCTTGCTAAGTCTATGCAAGTAATCCAAATTTGAAAAAAACCTCAAATATGAAATAATTCTGGTCGCAAGCATTTCAGATAAGGACTACTGAATTTCTATATATAGTCAGAGATTATAGGTTATCTTGATCAAATTGAAGAGTGATCTCTCTATTTAGAAAGATCTTACCTTTCATTAACATCACTTATTCTTTCAAAAACAGCAAAGTTATAATTTCTCATGGTAAAACACAACATATCCATAAAACAATCAAATATGCAATTCCAAACTAGACAAACTGGAGTTTTTCCCCTAGAAAAGCATAAAGTACCAATACTGCCTAATCAATGAAATGGATACTCTCTAGTCTCCCAAAATACAACGTTTGGTATGCTTTTTTGCAGGGGGAAATGGCAGTCACTCTTGTTTCTTAGAAGTATTCATCCTCTCAGCTAAGCTCACTCATCATTCTGCCCTTTGTACATCTTATAGCAGAGAAATGCTATACTGCATGTTAGGGAATATTTTCCCAATGTCAACACTAAAGCTACTGTTGCTTTATTACTTAAGACTGGCCAATTGAACTCCAAACAAAGAAAAGGATCAATCCTAATAGTAATAAGAAAGGAATACCACGTCAGTCACGATGGCACACACTTGTAATCCCAACACCTGGGAGATTGAGGCAGGAGGGTTATAATTTTGAGGCCAGTCTGAGCTACATAGAGATCCTGTCCCATGAAATAAAATGAGATAACCTTTTGTTATTGCCTATCAGAACGGCAGTATCGAGTGTTTGCCAGGATACAGTATCATAGATGGTTAGGAGGCACATAAATTGGTACCAAGCTTATGGAGGGCAAATTAGTAACATGACCCAAATACCTTAAAAATTTACATAACCTTATCCAGAAAGACTCTATCTGGGATTTTTATCATGAAGGAATAATTTTACTTGTAAAAATAACTTAGAAATGTGTTCATTTTCTATTGCTATGTAACAAATTAGCACACACTAGTGCCTCATAAAAATGGCCATTTACTCTCTCACGCTTCTGTGGGTGAGAAGGCTAGCAGGGGTTCAACCAGCTCCTCTGGTTAGGACTTCAAAAAGCGGACATCTTGACATCAAGGGCAGGACAGTTATCTGCACATTATGCGAAAGAATTTTCTTCCAAGCCCACTCAGGTTGCAGGCAGAATTCAGTTCCTTGCTATTATAGAAATGAGGTCCTTAGCATTTTTGTTGGACGTTGACAGAGACCGCTGTCAGTTCCCACTGCCTCCCATCAGGTCCCTCCGTCTGTGCTCCCCTTCATCTTACAACAGAGAGTATTTCTCCTGTGGAATCTTTACACATTCTGAATCTGACGTCATGTATTGCCACTGGCAGGAGAAAACCCTCTGCATTTACTAAGCTCCTGTATGAGGTTGGGGGCTGTTCAGATTATCCCCCTTCTAATGAACTCAAAGCCAACTATTAGTAACTTTGATTTCATCTGCAAACTTTCCTGGTATGAAGCATAACACAAGCAGAGAGTGTTATCATGTTCACAGGGGAGGGAATAAAAGGTGAGGGCCACTGGAGGTCATCTTAGAATTCTGCACACCACACAAGGATAGTCCTCGTACTGTTGTTATACAATTATAGAGAAAAGATAGAAAATAACCTCAATGTGTAACAGAAAGTTAAGTCAAGGAATGTCCATCTTTGTGTTGAAATACTGTTAAGCCACTGAAGGACAACAGTTAATGGTAGGAGGAAACCATGATATATTAAGTGAAAATGCAAAACACAAACTATATGCAACAAATACTGAATATAACATGAGGGTGGAGGCTCATAGTTAGTCCTATAGTTCTCAGTCCCAGCAAACAACAGATTCTCAATAGCAAATTAAGTAAATGAAGACAAAGACAAATATTGTGTGTGTGCAGAAAAAAAAGACACTGATATGGTTTACTTCTAGATGTTCTCCAAGAGCCTCAGGTGGAGCTTCTGGAATGACTGCATTTTGGGGGTTATAACTAACTTGCAGTTAGCAGATGGGGTCAGTGAGAAGAGGAGGATTCCTAGGGGTGTGGCCTAGAAGGGCTCCCCATTCTTCCCTTTCCGGCTTCTCCCAAGGTTCTCTCTGCTTGCCGTGACCAAGCAGCTCTTCTCCACCCAGGACATGCCACTGCACTGCCCCTGCCCTGGAGCCAGCCCGCTGCAGACTGAACCTCTCTTCCTGTAGGCTGTAGGTGCCAGGCAATGTGTGACAGAGACAAGGAAAGTGACTACGACAGATACTGACCAAAATGTTGAATGTTCCCTTGAGGCAGGTGAATGATAAAAAACTCAGGGTTTTTTTTTTTTTTCCATTATGGTTAAAAAACTTTATAATTTTTTTTTTATTTTAAAGAGTAAAAGAAGGATAACATAATAATAGGGGGGACTTAGCAAATTACAGACAAAATGGTAGGAAATTATCAGTGGTTATCGTTTTACATATTATTATCTACAAAATAGTTTCTCAGGAAAACAAATAGACAAATAACAGTGAGTTAGAGACAAAAGAGGTAGGAGATTATCAAGAGTTGTTGTGCTATACTTTGGTATCTTCAAAGTGCCTTCTAAAGAAAATAAATAGAGCTACGTATGAGTGACCTATTGAAAAATCATTAACTATTCTCAATGGTTGTTGTAGGAAACACATAATAATAAACATACATCCATTTATGAAATAGGATAGGAACATTACAAACTTTACAGTTATGGATAGATTAGTAGGAAAATATCAATGGCTGCTGTAATACGTGGTGGTATCTTCAGAGTGGTTTCTCAGGAAGACAGAGATATGCAAGAAGGATCTAACAAGTAGTTACAGCCTAAGGGTTGTCAAAAATAGCATATTACCTCCTCACCAGTGACTCCTTTCACTGAGGTATGACGGCTGGAAGGAAGGCCAGGATTGAAAAGAAGGACCGAGAGACTTGCACCTGTGTCTAGCAACAGGCTATTTTCTTGTTCCTCCATAGTCATGATTACCCAGGACTCCTCGATGGAGATGACGGTCTGGCCAGAGGAAACTTTATAATTTTAATTTGTCTGTACCAGGTTATAAGAATATTTTTTAAAAATCCCAGTATCAGGAAACATAAAGCTGGCATTTTTCCCATTCAGAATTTCTAGGGGTGATAAGTTACTCTCCTCTAATCAGTTCACAGCCGTCTATAGAGAATCAACCACTTTCCAAACTGAAGAAAGCATTCACTCTCTGTCTTCCACAAATAGCAACCATGTCCACATAATCCCGCCTACACCATTTCCATTAGCAGCCATTGCTGACTTTCTGGAACTTGCCTGGTATGTATCAGGCAACATATTTGTATAACTCCACGAGAGTTTTCTGGTGCCATGAAAAAAGAAAATGAGCCAAACGTTAAGTCTCCCAAAAAATATCATGGGAGACAGATTGCAGACAGCAGTATAAAGTAAACTAAAATGGGGGCTCAAATGAAGGGATCAAAGATGTATAGAAAATGAATTCTCACAAGCAGTATAAAGAATAGGTTTATAACTGAAGCAGCACCTGAGCGCAACTGTAAGTGATAGATAAGTACATGGCAGGTAAGGAGAGACAGGCAGACACTTCTGCTGATAAGAATATAGAATAAAACAGGCATCTTGAAGCTTATTAAATACCGGTAGTTCTATGTAATGAAATCTTCCTATCTACATTGATATTTTTAATCTATTGCTTAACAAGCCCTTTTCCTCCAGATATATAAAAGAGAGTACTCATTCAATGGACTATAGACTAACAGCACTGGAAAGCAAAACTGGGACTAGACCTTGGTAAGCCTTGGGTGTCAGAATAAGGAATCAGAATTCACTCAATATGCCCCAAATGCTAATTAAGGTTTTGGAATGGAAGAATGAAAGAATCACATGAGAAGCTTTCCCGAGTTATAATAAATGCATAAGAGCACTTTCCTGCTTTTAGAAAGTGATTCTTAGCGTTTTAACATCAGTAAGTTAGTTCGTCAGGTACATGCTACTAAACTTTTCCTTTTTAATCTAAGAAGTTCTGGTAACTCACAGTGTACATGTCTACTTTGCACCCTACCTATTTGGGGGCTTCTTAAAATGTTTCATCATTACTCAGCATCTTCTAATACACTTCCAAAGGATTAATCATTATGTGATCAGAAATGTAAAGACAGCTTCTACGAAGGTCAATGCAATTTTGACACATCACCGGCATTCTCAAGAAAATATCTAAGGGTAGCACCTTTCTCTTTTTTTTGGAGACAGGGTCTCACTATGTAGTCCAGGCTGGCCTTGAACTCACTATGTAGCAGAAGGCAGCCTCAAACTTGTGGTGATTCTCCTGCCTCTGCCTCCTGAGTACTGGGGTTACAGGTGTGTGCCACCATGCCCAGCTATCTCTTGAAAAAATAGTGGTAAGCAGTACATAGCATTCAACATCTAAATCAGAGGGGAAAGGGCAAATGCACATTTAATTCATCTAGAAAGGATTAAAAACAGTATTCTTTAATCTGTTGTCTCCTTCCTGGTCACAAAACAAAAGGTCAGTAGAGTTCTCCCTCAATGTAGTGAATAAATCATATCTAATTTTTAAAAAGCTGAATAAATGAGTAGATAATCTCTCCAGTCATAAATGTCAAAAGTTGGAAGTGATAATCCATTCTTCCTAAACAGAATGGGTAGGTGGAATTCCTCAAGCTGCAGGAAAAGGAAGGAAGGGAGGTAGGAAGGGAGGAAGGAGAGGAAAATAAGTCTCCATCTAAACAGGGTTAGGATTATAATAGGTTTTATAATCCTAGCACTCTGGGCAGCTGAGGCAGGAGGACTGCAAGCTCAAGAACAGCCTGGGCAATTAAGTGACTTAGTGAGAACTTGTCTCAAAATAAAAATAAAGGGCTGGAGATGCAGCTCAGCGCGAAGGCTCTGTGTTCAATCTCCGGTGCCACAAAATTAATTAATTAATTAATTTAATAAGTCTTTCAGTTAGTAGCAGAAAATTTTCCTATTCCCTGGATTTGACTCCCAGCACCATGGTTTAAAAAGTGAAAAATTTCCTCAAAACAAAGAACACAGGCTGCTTCCTTTATCCCTAAGGATGTACAGAATTTAACAATATTCTGTCACCAGCTGAAGTAGCTTCCAGTGTTATTGCCTGACCAGCCCAAATTCTAATTTCCCTTGTGGCAGTAGAAGGCATGGACAGATTAATTCTCTGCACAGCATAAGATGAGAATAATGAACAAAAAATAATTATGAATAGTACCAGAATCTCATTTCACCTGTAGAAAGGTGAGAATGTATGAAGAGTATCTGTCAAAATTAACAGTAATATCACCAGGGAAAAAAATTAGCAATACTTCTGAGTAATCCCATGAGACTCTATTAAAAACCAACAGCAGCTGCTGAGGAAACTATCCGGCTAAGGGCAAATCATCAAAGCAAGTGTTCTCCTTTCTAATATAAGAAACACCTTTAACAGTCTAACAGACAACTTTAGTAAGGTTAAGAATCTCAACTCACGAGACAGCAGGCAAGGCTCCTTAAAGGAATAGCCAGCCAAAGTTAGGCAGTCATGTCCACATCATTAAAGCACAGCTGAGCGCTACTACGCAAGTCACCCTTTGGAAATCCTGGGAGTAACACCTTTACTTAGCCGCAAGTTCGTAGCTACTCTGTTCCTGACCAGTAAGAGCAGTAAATATTCTAGACTGAGCAGACTGATGGGTTCCACGCCAAGAGGATGGCTCTGAACAAAAGTCCACAGTAAGCTGTAGAACTGAAGTTATGGTTTGAATGAGTTGGCACATATATCTGTTCGTTTCTTTAGTAAAGATAGAGCCATTTAAGATAAGGAAGGGCCCTTTATAATGGATTTATGCTTGAGGATTTCAGCGGTGTTTCTGTAGGAGGTGGAATCCTGGAGATCTCAGGCAAAATTTTTACTTACCCTTGAAATATTTGTAGCGTCACAGGTATTTACTATTCGTGAACCTGGGGAAGATATGTGCACAGGCATATTTCACTGCAATGAAACTCCCTGGAAATGTGTAGAGGCAGAGCTCTGCCTAGTCTTGTCAGCTAATGTGACAAAGGTGGGTGACCAGTACTGGCTAAAGAAAGGTCAATCTGGCTGTGAGCACAGCTACGCTTGGCTTTTCTACAAGTGACAGGAGAGTAGAAGTGAGCAAGCAGCCAGGGCTGTCAAAGGAAAACAGTCTATCAGTCTAAAGGGAGATGCGTGGGGATGGATCGAGTATAACAGTAACATATGTAAATGAGCTTCAGATAAGTCTAGCAGTACAGCGGAGTCACTTTCCTCCACTCGGCTGGGATGCGAAGAGCACCCGAAGCGCAGGTGGCGGCCTCTACTTAGGAAACTAGGAAGGGCTAACAGAAGGGACTGTTCAGTGGTTTCTGCACGCAGGGCAGCGATCTGCTTAAAAAGTAGTACAGCGAGCAAAGGAAGCAGAGCTCAGCCGTGTGGAAAAAGAGCAACAGGGAAGAAATATAGTAGTGATGTGCTGTCGGCGCGCGCGAGAGCAGCAAACGACCACAAGAGGACAGGCGGTCCGAGGAGCCGAGGCGGCGGGCGCGGGAGGAGCGGCGGGAGCCCGGCGGGCGCTCGCTCGCAGCCCCGCTCCCGCACGCGCGTCCTCGCCCTCCCGCCCCACGCGCCCCGGGCCGGAGTAACCTGCGCGCTCTCCGGCGGCGGCTCTTCCGTGGCAGCGTGGCGGTAAGCTACGTCCACCTCCACCCTCCCCGCACGGGCGCGCCGTCTTGGGGGGACGCCTAACGCGAGGGCGGGGTGTGAGAAGGAAGGGGCGCTGAGGGCTCCTCGAAACCCCGCCTGCTCAAGGCCAGGCCGGAGCGCCGGGTCGGAAGCTCCCAGCTACGGCTGCTGCGGCTCGGTAGCCGAGCGCGCGCGCGAGGTTCCACCATCCACCCGCAGCCGGAGCACTACCCGGGCAACCACGCAGGCAGAGCCCCGGATGTGGTTGCTAGGGCCGCAGCGGGAGGGGCGGGGCCAGCCTCCGGAGAGGGGCGGAGGGTGCGTGGTGGGCGGCTCGCCCGCACCATCGAGACGCGGCGGCGACCGGTTTAGGGAGAGAGAGGCCCGCTGTCCAGCGCCAAGGGCAACGCTACTTCCGGTCTCCCTACTTCCGGCTTCGCTGCTCCGGGTGCTGGCTCTGGAGGCCGGGTTGAGAGGTCGCGGGTCGGAGGGTCCCCGCCGCTTGGGCAGTGTGCGCTTGTGACAGCTGTCGCTGCTCCCCGTCCCCAGGATCCGAGGCGCGTCGGGGAAGGTGAAGGAAGAACAAGTCCGGGTCGCGTTTCTGCTCCCTGCTCGCCAGGTCGGGGCGATTCCAGAGAGCGGCGGCAGGGCTCGGCCTCGATTTGGGAGCTGCCGGGTTCCCCGCAGACAGGTGAGGGCGGAGGGCCCGCGGCGGGGAGCGGGGAGGGTGGGCCGACGTGGTCGGGCGGGCGCGTCGCCTCCGGCTGCGCAGCTCCGGACCTGCTGGGCACTCCGTCCTCGGTGTGTGCCAGGTCTGCCCGGGGATTCTGCTGCGGTTTCCGCCCCTGCGCTGCTCCTGCCTCTCGAGGGTGCCCCAGAAACAGCGGAGGAAAGGGACCGGCCCGGCCCTTCGGGGCGGCACCCCGGGCTTCCACGCGTTCTGTGGGCAGAGGTTGCTGGCTGCAGAACCTAACGCAGTGTGGGAAGCAGCCGCCTTCGGGCAGGGCGTGCAGCGCTGCTGTCCTCCTCGCTGCATCCCCCCGCTTCCTCTCTCCCGCGGCGAGGGCGGGAGGCAGTGATCGTCCCCGCGAGAGGCTCCTCTGGCAGTGCAGCAGGCAGGAGCCTTGCCCGGGACGTGTCCCAAGCCTGGCTGTCCGCGAGAACGTCCAAGGAACGCTGGAGTTTGTGGCTGTGACTGCTGGCTCGCTGCTCTGTGCCAGCTTACTGCTGCCTACGTGTCTAGGAAAGGGAAAGAGACTTGGACTTTTTTTTAAAAAACAGGCTTTGGACGCTACGTTTTCCCTCATTTATTACTGCTTCCTTTGCTTTGTTCTTACCTTCCTCTTGAACCTCTCGATCTCACAAATTTGCACCTTCCTCTTCCCGTAGATCATGTTGCCACCCTTGTTAGGAATCCTGTCCCTCTTCCCTCCTTTACTTTCTTGTAGTTGAAGCATATTTACTCAACTCTTGTTTGATAAGGAAAAAGGGAAGAATTGCCGGAGTTTTCATCAACGTGTTCTTTCACCTGCAAGGGTGTGTTCACGTTTGCCATTTAACTGCGTTGACTTAGAAAGGTGCACCCGATTGGCTACCGATGAGGCAGCCCTCTGTTCAAGGCCGCAGGCATTGGCCGTTCATTACTGCTCCTTCGGAGAGTACACTGTAGGCTACGTATACTTTTGTTCTGTTTGTCCTGCGTGTTGTTTGTTTTGTTTTGTTTTCCTTGTTTAATATGACCAACCCTCCCAACACTAACATTTTTTATTTAGGAAAACAGAAAATATTTTTATTCTTACTTTATTTTTCGGATTAAAATGTCCCTACTTCAGTTACTTTGGTTCCTTTTCAAATGGATAAATTAGTTTTCCTTGCATTATGATTTACCATAATCCTGGGCTGTGAGTTGGGGTGTAGGGTCTAAGTCGCAGTGATTTTTAAGGGTCTTCTTCATTTTCACCCCTGAAATTATACGCAGAATTTTTTGAGTGTATTTTTTTCCTCAAAGGAGAACGACCTTTTCGGTTTTTTAAAAAAATCACATTATCAAAAGAGATATACAGTGTCCAGGCAGATTAAAAAGTACTTCTTAGATAGTGTCTTGTTGAAGTTTATGAAAACTTTTTTTGCGCGGGGAGGTGGCGTAGGTGTATTTTTCCAAACTGTAAATGGCTTGTTTGGGGGCCAAGAGCAGTAGAATGCAAGGATTATATCTTGCTATTGAAATCTTTAACTACTTCAATACTTTAGTATTTCTGAATTCCTTCCTAGACATACTGAGGGAAGTGACAGTGTAAACTTACTTAGTTCGTGATTTGTGGTTTTGAGGTTTCTTTTCAGGGTTGGCTGTTTGTGGCCAGTGCTCTGGCAATCGTGTGGATTTGTAAAATGATGTGTTTATCATTACTTAATGTATATTAAGGACCACCAATCCACTAGGTATAGCTCAGAGTAAAATATTTAAATTCTGGTTGTACTTGGCTTTCATTTTCTTGTTTTTCACTTGAGCCGCCTAGTATTTTGGTTTTGCTAGGAATGGCAAATAAAATGTTTCAGTGATGTGGTCCATAAGCTTTATGTCAACATTCTCTTTCTCTCCATTCTATATTAGGTATTTTAATGGTTGCTTCTTTCTTACAAATAAGAGTCTTTTCAAACTTATTGTAAGTTTTAGGGCACACATTTGCTTACTGACTTGGTTGTGAAGCGTTTGTTATTTATTTGAAGGCTAGCATTCTAAAGGTTTGAAGGTTGTTTCACACAATTTTAGAACATGAGGGAACCTATACAGGTCATCATAATCTCTCCGAAGTAACTAGTTTTTTTCTGCTCATAAAATAATTTTCACTCTGTATAGCATCCTTTCTTAGCGAAGCAGTCAACATAATTTTGTAAAGAATAAATTATGCTAAATTAGCTTTCTTTTAATTCAGAAGACAAATTTTATCTAATACCAGAAGACAAGTTTTATCTAATGACTACATTTGTTTATACTGCATACTGTTTGTCAGACATTATACTCAAGACTTTACATGAGTATCTCATCTACCCCTCCCCCTGCAACCTTATATGGTGGCAAAACCCCACAATTCTATAGATGAAGAGACTGAAACTTAGTGACTAACTGAAGCTAAAATAGTACACTCAGACTTACACTGGTGGAGCCAGGATTTGATCCCAGGTCTGACTCTTGTTTACTGTATACAGCTTTTAGTCTCTTTATGGTTGCTGGGACAGAATATCTGACATCCACAGTTTAAAGGAGGAGAAGTTGATTTTGGACCACACTTTCACTGAGTTCAGTCCATGGTCAGTAGGCTCCAAGGCAGAATAGCATGGTGAAAGGGCATGGTAGAGGAAGGCGGTTCATGCTGTAGTAGTCAGGAAGCAGAGAGGAAAGGGATGAGCCAGGATAAGGATATACCCTTTGAGATCATGTCCCTAGACCTGATAGCACAGTCAGCTGTGACCACATCTGTGGACTAATCCATTGATGACTGTGGTGTCCCATGCTCCATTGACTTTCCAAAAGCCCCACCTCTGAACACGAGACTGGAAACATTTTAGATGTGAACCATAGCACAGCTTCTGTTATATGTCCATTTTATCTTTTTTGGATTAGACATTAGTAGACAGTAAATATTTTCTATGAGACATTAAGCGAAGGTCTTTCCTGTATTACTCTTCAGTGGGTAACATCTAGTTGACTATCACACTGAAAAGTTTGATAAAAGGAAGCAAATTTGGAGGCCTATAGTAGTAGTAACTAGGTTTTTCCCATGGGATGGATATGTCTATGTGTGAGTGTGTGTGTGTGTGAGTGTGTGTGTGTTATGAGAAGTGGAAAATACCAATATAAATGTTAAAAGAATAATCTTGGCATCATAAGAAACTGGAAGCATAAATACCAGAATGATAAATTTGGGATGGAAGAAGGAATAAATACTTGTCCTTTTAAAAAGCTTTTGCACAGCAAGAGAAACCACCAACAGAGTGAAGAGACAGCCCACAGTATGGGCAAAAGTTTTTGCCAGCTGTTCCTCAGACAGATGACTAATATGTAGAATATATAAAGAACTCAAAAAAAATCAGACCTCCAAAATTTAAAGACATCTGAAATGAATACACACTTCTCAGAAGAAGTAGAAACAGCAAATAAATATATGAAAAAATAGTCACCATCACTGGTCATTTCAGAAATGCAAATAAAAACAACCCTGTGATTCCATCTTACTCCAGAAAGAATGGCTGTTGTCAAGAAATCAGCCAGTAACAAATTCTGACAGGGCTGAGGGGAAAAAGGAACACTTCTCCACTGTTGGTGGGAGTGTAGATTGGTGCAACCACTGTGAAAATCAGTGTGGAGATTACTCAAAAAACTAAAATTAGAGGTTCTGTTTGATCCAGCTGTTCCCCTTCTTGGTATCTTTCTGAAAGAATTAAAAGCAGCATAACACCTATGTTTATAGCAGCACAGTTTGTAATAGCTAAATCTTAGAAACAGCCCAAACGCCCATCAACCAATGAATGAATAAAAAAAGTGTGTTTTCTTTTAATAAATAAAATGGAATACTACTCAGCCATAAAGAAAGATAGACTTGAGACATTTCTAGGTAAATGGATGTACCTTGAGACTCTCAAGTGTAATAAATTGGACACTTGTAAATATTGAATGCTTTCTCTGGTGTTAGAAAGCAAAAGTGTAAATAAAGACTAAAATGTATTATAGATATTGTGAAATAGGAAGATGTTCAAATGGGAAGGGGAATGAGGGAGGGGGTAGAAGGGAAAGTAGGATGGGAAAAGAGAAAGATAAAAGAAGGATAAAATGGAAGCAAAGCTTTGTAAGTAAAGGGAAGAGGTGTTGAAGGGAGGGTAGGGGAAGGGGGAGAAAAGAATCAAGTTATATCATGTACAGGAACAAGTTCCCTATGGTGAATGTAATCATTATGTATGCCCAGAATGCACCAATAAACAATTTAAAAGAAACCAAAAAGATCTGAAAGTATTCTTGTTATTCTTGGTTTCTACTAGCATTAGGCAGTTATGAAAGCCACTTAATAGCTCGTACAGATTCTCAGCTATACAATATTTTCGCTCCCCACTCCCTCTCTCTCTGTGTATTTATATATATATGCATTTTTTCTTTTTCCTATTTCTTTTCTGTTCTCCAATCCTTCATAACTTCTAAACCTTTATCGTAAGGTGAGCATAGGTAAGTATTGCTTGGTTGTGTTAGCAGTTGATTCTTGTGAAACAGTGTGTGACCTTTTTTGAACTGCTATTTATTTCCCCTTAGCAGACATACTTATTTAAGTGGATACTGTTCCGAGTAAGCAGTCTCCTTTGAAATTTACTTCTGGTACTCCTCTTAATTCATACTGAGACATGCAGAAGTCTAAAGTTCTTACTTGGCTTTTCCACCTTGGTTATAAGAATCTCAATCTAAATGTGGGTGGTTTTTTGTTTTGTTTTGTTTTGTTCTTCTTTGATGGTGGTGCTGGGGATGACCCCAATGCCTTTCACATGGTGAGCAGCTCCTGTACCACTGAGTTACATCCCCAGTGCACAGTAACTGTATTTGGAAAAAATCAGACCCTCTCCTAAAAGATGAAGATCTGTCACCAAAAAGAAGTTTCAGAGTATTTTGGGCCCTGAAGGTAGTTGTAAACCTGTTCTTTGCTCAAACCT